CGTTACACACACACACACACACGTACACACAGACACATACACACACAGATGGATCCACGTTTTTGAAACCAAGAAGCAGCTCAAAGAAAGAAATTTCAATGAAAAAGGGGAATAACACAAAATCTGATCTTCGTGGTTGTTGCAGTTATTTACCCAAAATAAAAAGCAGTCTATGGGGAGTGCAGCGCAACTGTACCAATTAGATGGTAGAAAAACGAAAGAATTTCATACCTCCAGCAAGCCGCTTGCGAAATCGGATGGGAAATGTGCACAGCTACGAAGAACTTTTATCGTAGCGATCCTTTCCATGCCCGGCAAAAGCGGACGATAAAACATTTCAAACAGAACAATGCCAAGACTGAAAGTAACATCAAGAATGCGCATTCCTCGAATTATGCGTCAAACAATATGAGAAATCGACCCCTTCTTCCCCTACAATCTCTTTTCATTCCAAAATACGAAACTGAATCCTCTTTGGTGTGGATATATAGTAAATGTCATAAAGGTGGCAAGAATTTTATTTACTAAGCCATTTTGAATATATTGACAAAATCGTAGAGAGGGAAACTATAGTATGTTATACACTTAAACGTAGGCATTTCGGGCATCACTGCTCTGTCACAGCCAGCTTTTGCTCTTCCGCAGTGTCAGTAATAACATTTCTCATCCGTATGTCATCGCTTTCAACAAAGTAATGTACACAACCTCCCAGTCAGGCATGGAAGACGTCGGAGGTAATGTAAAGTTTGAGCCGGCCCGCAAACTTTTCACGTGCATTACCGGCTGAATTGTGGTACATATTTTTAGGTCATAAATTAAGTGCTAACTTCCCCAAAGCCAGCTACATCCAGCCTAGCTGCAGACACACTGATATTAGTATATTAACAACATTGCTAAAGCGCGTGCTTTATGCCATTCTTCCAAGAAGCGTGGGACATATTTTTATTCATCCGAAAACTAGCCGGAAAACAGTGGCTGAAATTTTGTCAGAATATTTATTGTCCATATGGGAAATCGTGTACCTAAATTGAGTTCCGATTTACACTTGCAATACGAGTTAAGGTACATTAAAGATATTTGTGGTGAACTGGCTATTTGGCCTGACGGATAATGCAAGGCTGAAATTTCGCTGGGATATTCTACTTTCAACTGCGGTCTTAATTCTGCTTGGAGGTGAAATCCCCTGCAGGTGGATAAGTGAAATACTCGACTTAAGTGAAATACACAAACTCAGAAACGAGTGCATTTTGCAGCGAACGACCGCTTTCATCCTCACCCAGCATCCAGTTCATTTACATATTTTTGGATTTTTTTACGAACGACCGTTCTAGCAACACTTCCACTTTTCACTGAAGAACTGGAACTGTCTGTGGCATTCCACTCAACAGTTAAAAAGCAGTAAAGACATGCGGGCACAATCAGTAACAAACACCAGTTCGTGAAGCAGCACTAGTTAAAGCAACTGGAAAAGTTGCCAGTTGCATATTTGGAGAATCAGATCATAATTCAAAGGTATTTCAAGTATGAAACGCACCTATACACATCGATCT